TATATATATGTATATATATATACATATATATACACATACACACACATTATACATTTATATACATTATAAATTTCTTTTTAATTTCTACTTTTCTAAATGAATTTAAAGAATTTCATTCTTTTCCAAAACACGTTTTCCCTTGTTCTGTCGGATCAGCATACCCATAGTCAATACACATGCACAAGACGTCAAAGTTGCGTTTATCCCTTAAAAATAGACTTTAAAATACATCGACTGTCGTGTATCCCTGTAGTCAAGTACAAAAAAAAATTAAAGGTCAGATCGCCAAACGCTTCAGTAATTAAGTAATTAAATAGTTTTTTGTACATGACTAAAGGGATACACGCCCGTTGAGGTAGTTTAAAGTCTATTTGTCGGACAGAACTAAAGGGATAAATGGGTATTGACTATGGGTATGCTGCCCACATTACAGAACAAAGGCTCACTTTCTCTTCCTTTCTGGGGGCGAGCTTTTCACTGGAGCATTTTTAATTGGTCAAAAGCAAACGCTTGTATTGGGCTTGAAGTGAAGAGAATTAGATCTGTGAAACACAGTTAGAAAAGAATGTAATTTGAAAATCAGAAAAATACAAAAAAATAAATCATTAAATCTAAAAGAGACCATTTGATAAATATATCATCTGTATGGAATAAAATCTGAAAAAACAGCTAAATCACTCTCAAAACCATTCTTTGGATGACAAAGGTTTTTTTTAAGTTTCCTCTCTGGATTATATTTTTTTTTAGTTTACAAAATGGAACAAAATATTGGAACAAAAGTCACTCCATAGAGGCAGATGAAAAGTCTCACCAAAGCTCAGCTGACGACTCTCACAGAACTCGGTGTACTGAGCCGTGTCCATGTTCCGAGTGTGTCGCTCCAGACGCTGAATATTCAGACAACAAACACAGTGAACAACATCATCATCGTCATCATCATCGTTAGATATGCTGAGTTCTCTGCAGTGACCTCTGACCTCCATCCTCTCCTGTTTAATCGTGTCCACTTCCTGCTTCTCGGCCAATGAAAGGAATTCCCCGGTTTGATCCATCCATGCCAGGAAGTCCAGAGCTAGTCGCTGCCTGCGCTGGTTTCCACCTGCAGACGAACCAGCTGACCGGAGAAACGCAGCCATAGGTCAGACGTAGGTCTGATTATGTTAAAAGCTGTTTGACCGAGTCCGAGCGTTTACCCGACTCCTGCTGCAAGTCCTCTTCCTCCACAGTCTTCAGCAGCTTGAATTTAAAATCTCTGAACTGCAGATATTTTAATAATCGTGCCAGCTTCCTCTGGTTTCAGGCAAAGAAACAAAAAACAAAACAGAAGAATAAACTTCACTCAGAGGTTCAAACCAAAGAGGACTTTAGCTAAAGAGATGAAGCCTTTTCTCTACCTTGTCCCTCCTCAGCAGGAACAGGATGTCCTCGGCTGAAATTACCCTTGAGCCGCGGAGTGCTGCTCCCTCGCAGGCCTGATGCAGCTGTTCCGTACAGTAAAACCATCCGTACATCAGGATCAGACTGTTCAAACTAGGGCCCCTAGTTACAGACTTAACCCCCATTAAAGTTACCATATTAATGAGCTGTGTGTGGACGATGTCCTCTACCAGGGCAGCCGTCTCAAACAGAGGCCTGCGGGCGTCTCCAAGAGCAAACCTGAAACACAAACTTATTCAGCTCTCTGAAGCAAACAGAACCCCCGATGAACAGAACTGGGTTTAACTGGTGAGATGGAGCGTCTCAAGGCTTTCCCTTCATTTAGTCGAGGCATCAAGATCAGGGCTGAATTAATCGGAATAATCAATTATTGAAATAATCAACTAATTTAGTAATCGATTAACTGTTAACTGGAGTATAGAGACGCTAAACTATGGCTTTAGCTGACAGAGAAACCCACTTAGAGCACTTATTATACCCAAATTGTAGAAAAATCGAAACATTTGCATAAATTTAAGATGAAAAATATTTTCCGTCTGTCAATCTGCTCCATCAGAACTCCTCAAGTGGAAAAGTTCTGGTTTCACTTCATTTGATTTCGTAAAGATCTTCTTTAAGCAACCTTTGGCTATCAGATTATTAATAAAAAAAGTAATCAACCGATTAATCGATTTGCAAAATTATAGTTACTTTCAGCCCTAATTACCACTAAATCAAACGGGACTAAAGTGGCGTAATTGTTTCAGCAGCACACAGATCTGCCATGACTGGTCGACCTCTTTGGTTCTGACGGGGGCTCCTCTGTAACAAGACAAAATACTCCTGCACTTTATTCTAAAATAGGCTTAAAACTTTCCTTTTTGATAAAGCTTATAGTTAGAGTGGCTCAGGTTATCCTAATATCTCTATAGTTATGATGCTATAGGCTTAGCCTGCTGGAGGACATAGGAACCCCTATTTCATCATTCTATCTCTATTCTCCCACTCTGCAGAATCTGTTAGTTCAATCTCTCCGTTTTAGTAGCTTCATCTGGTCTGTTCCTGTTTGGCTGTGACTCCATCCTGGAGAGAAATATCAGCTGTGCTGCTGC